GAAAATTTCATCAGTGACTTCATTGTGCTTGGATCCACAGTCAACACCTTTGTTACCAGCAGCCAGGAGATTAGGAGATGGATAACACTAGGAAAATCTGCTGTTAAGGACCTCTTGAGGGTCCTGAAGAACAATGATACCAGTTTGAAGACTAAGGAGCACCTGATTAAAGCCATGGTCTTTCCCATAATCTGTTATGCATCTGATAACTGAACAGTCAATAAAGATGACAGAAGAAAAATTGATGCCTATTAATTGTAGTATTGGAGAGGAATACTAACTATGCTATGGGCTGCCAGAAGGACAAACAGATATGTCTTAGAGAAAGTGCAACAAGAGTACTTCTTAGAGGCAAGGATGATGAAACTGAATTTCACATACTCTGGGCATGTTAGTAGAAGAGGCTATTCTTGGCGAGGGACATCTACAATGTGTAGGGGTGGTGAAGAAGAGAAAAACCCTCAATGAAATGGATTGATAACAGTAATTGTGACAAATGAGGTTAAAAAGAAACACATTTATGTGCTAAATAAGATATTTTGATATTAAACTGGAAAGGAATTTATCCTAAAATGTGAAGGCTGAAGTGTAAAGGACTCTAGTGTGTTGAGGATGGTTCATGTTTTAAGATTATAAATAAATAACGCTGATATTTTAAATACTACAGTCACATCTTCACCAGATAGAAGTAATCTTTTACATGGGTTGGTAAGATCCTTCGCTCCAGTTTGTTGTGTAAGCATTTGCTTCATCTTGTTGTTTTCAGTATTAATGTGCATGTATTATTGTGAAACCCCAAATGAATTCCTCAGGCATAGAGTCTTCATCTTTATACCCTCTGCACTTATGTAAATGTAAATAAATATTTTCAAATGCTGAATTAAAGACTTCAGCTTTTGGCTGTTCTGTGATAGTCAGCTGTTATCATTTGACCTTATTTGTTTATTCCTCTTTCACATTAAAGCCACACATTTTGAATAATCTAGATTTTCTTCTTGTTGTGTACTGTCGAGTCAGAACCAACCCATAGCCGACCCTCTGGCGGGTTTTCAGAGGGAGTTAATCACACGGGAGGAGATTGCCCATCCTCCTGCAGAGCAGCTGGTGGCCTTGAACTGCGTGCCTTCGGGATTACAGTACAGCTCCTTGCCATTAGACCACCAGAGTTCCTATTTAGTGATCATTTCCATGGTGAATTAATAATTTTAGAGTATTTTTCTTACTTTTAAGAAACAACTGAAACTGCTATAAAATTGAGTAGATCATAAAATTTGAAAACACCCAGTAAGCATTAATGGACGTTCTTTTGCATTTCCAGGTGATGCAACAGTGACAATAGCTCACAGGTATACCCCCAAAGAACAGTTGAAGATCCATACTCTACTGGCAGATGTCATTGTAGTGGCTGTAGGTAAGTCCTAAATGTATCCTGTTTATTGGAAAAACAATAGCAGAGCAAAGTTCAGCCCCAATTGAGAATACATTTGAAAGAAACTTTCTTGGGAGTTAGTTATGTGTAGGACTGACTTTCATGACTGAATCTCTTGACCATCACTGGTCCAATGCTGGTCCATTTTGCCGATGATAGAATTTGTCAAGTTATTATGCAACCAAGACCAACTTTGGAATGACAGATTAAGCACAAAATAATATTTGTTTTGTTAAATCACTTTGACAAACACAGCAGAATCACATATGTGGCAAAATGTCAGTGTGGGTAAATAATGCATCTGGGGGAAAATAAACAACAGGAAACTAGTATCATCTCAAGTTGTTTTCAAGGAAATGTAGGGTCCAGGCATTGATAGACAACCACATTGTTCCTTGACCACATTAAAGTTGAATACTTATGTCTTACATACTTCAGGCATGCTATTAGGAGGGGCCAATCCCTGTAAAGATATTATGCTTGAAAAAATGTAGCCATTGAAGAAGAAAAAGCCCACCAATGAGATTTGTTTACACAGTAAGTGCAATAGTGGCCTTGAGCACAGCAGACATTGTGAGACATGAGTCAGTAGTACTGGGCATGTTTTGTTCTGTTACATAGGTTCACTGGGAGTCAATGCCAACTTGCTAGCACTTAAGAATAATAACAAAGTGCCAGCTAATTAAAATGATCAAACCTCAACTCTTGTTGTTGTTGTTACATACCATGGAGTTGACCATGACTCTTAGTGACCCTCTGCATATAGCTCTGAACCCCCCCTCTCTCTTGGGCCAATCTCACTTTCTCTGATACACTTCAGTTCCTTACCTTACTTCATTACCTCAATTACTGAGTTAGTCCAGGTCAACCAGGGTCTTCCTCTCTTGTGCTTACCCTCCACCCTTCCAAGGATGATGTCTTTCTCCAAGGACTGGTCCCTTCTGGCAATATATATGCCCAAAGTATGTGATGTGGAGCCTCAAAATCTTTGCCTCCAAGAAATAGCTTGGCTTCATTCTCTCCAAGACAGACCTATTAGTTCTCTTGGCAGACCATAGCATGGTCAATATTCCTCTCCAGCACCACAACTGAAAGCCATTAACTATTCTACTGTCTTCTTTGGTCATTGTCCAGCTCATGACAGGTAATTGTGAAGACCAGGACCTGGAACAGGTGAACCTTATTCTCTCGACTGACTTTGTTGCTCTTCATCACTCTGGAGAGTTCCCTGACAGCAGATTTTCATAATGCAATCCTTCTTTTGACTTTTGACTGCTTTTGCCAAGAGTATTGATTGTGGAATCAAGCAATCCAAACTTGTTAACTATCTCAATCTCTTCTCCATCTATCATAATGCTGCCAATTGGCCCAATGGTGAGAATCTTGATTTTTCGTGATTTTGAGCTTTAATCTTTCATTTCCTCTGCAAGAAATGTTTCATGTCCTCTTCAACTTCAGGAACCCAGGTTGAGTGATTGAATAGTACAGATTTTAAATTAATCTTCCCTCAATCCTGATGCCGTATTTCTCCTCACACAGTCCAGCCTCCTGAATGATCTGTTTCACATCCACATTGAAAGGTTATGGAGACAGGACTCATTCTTGTGCACTCCTTTCCTGATTTCACACCTCTCAGTGTTTCCTTGCTCTGTTCTGATGACTGCCTTTTGATCCAAGTATAGGTTTTGCATGAGCAAAATCAGGTGTTCTGGGATTCCCATTCTTTTCAAGGTTAGCTACAATTTGTTGTGACCTACACAGTCAAATGCCTTTGCATAGTTTGTGAAATACAGATAGCCATTTTTCTGGTAGTTGGGCACCATTTCATTCTTCTGATATCAAGGTTATAGATGTTGAAGTTCGTGGTTCATTAAGGCTTTGAACTAATTGTTTCTGTGCACTTTTTTCTACTCTATTTTTTGTTCCACAGAGGCAAAAGCCAATAGTTTCACCATAGATTACTGCTCACACTTTTTTAATGATCTCAGACCATAATTAAGAATTTAGGATGTAGAACATTGTCTTTGTGGGCTGTTCTGTCAATTGCCTTTTTTCTTGTGGAGGTCCTGTAAGATTCTGTAAACTTTTGATATGAGACCTTTGTCTAAAATGGTATTGCCAAATATTCCCTCCTAGCCAGTAGGTTAGGTTTTCTTTTCACTCTATTAGGAAATGTTTTTTATGCACACAGGGATTTAATCTTTAGAAGGTCCAATTCATCAATTTTATCTTCTCTAGATTGTGCATTTCTTGTATTTGGCAGTCTCTTTATACCATAGACAAGGCTTTCTAAGCTTGATCCCAGTTTTTCTTTTATGAACTTTACAATTTTCGGATTTACTTTCAGGTCTCCAATCCACCTTGAGTTCATTTTTGTGTATGATGTGATATGTGGATGCTGTTTAAGTTTTCTGAAGGTAACAGACCAGTTTTGTCAGCATCATTTGTTGAAGAGATGGTCATTTCCCCATTTGATAGCATTGATTTCCTTGTCAAATATCAGTTGACTATACATAGTTGGGTCCATTTCTGGATTCTCAATTCTGTTCCATTGGTCTATATGTTTGTCATTTTATCAGTACCCTGCTGTTTTAGTTACTACCGCTCTGTAGCAGGTTTTAAGTGGTATGCCTTTTCAGAAGTGCTTTGTTTAGTTGGGGTCTCTTTCCTCTCCAAATAAACTTGACAATTTCTCTTTCAATCTCCTTGAAAAATGAATTTGGTATCTGTACTGGGATTGCATTGAATATTTAGATTTCTTTTGGTAGGCCTGTCATTTTCACAATATTGAGTCTTCCTATTGATCAACAGGGTACATTTTTTTCATTTACTGAAGGCTTTTATTGTGCCTTGCAGAAATGTTCTATAGTTTTCATTGTACCGGTCTTTTGTGTCTGTAGTTAGGGTTACTCCCAAGTATTTCAGTTTGTGACTAGTTGTAAATGGTATTGCTTACTTGGTTTCTTTCTCTGAGTTCTCTTTGTTACTACAGAGGAATCCCTCTGGTTTTGGGATATTGTCACATATCCTGCCACTCTACTAAATTGGTCTACTAACGCTAACGGTTTTTTTGTTAAGTCTTTGGGGTTTCCTGCATACACAATCATATCATCTGCATATAATGGTATTTGAACCATTACTTTGCCAATATGGATGTGTTTTATTTCCTTCTCTTGTCCTATTGCCCTGGCAAGCACTTCCAATGTTATACTGAACAGAAGTAGTCCCTTTTGGCAAGGAAAATGCTTTTTAGTCTTTCTCCATTGAGAATTATATTGGCCCTTGGTTTTGCATATATGCTTTTCACTATGTTGGGGAACTTCCCTTCTATTCCAATTTTGCTGACTGTCTTTATGAGGAAGGGGTGTTGGATTTTGTCAAATGCCCTTTCTGCATCAATTGCTAAGATCATATAGTTCTTGTTATTTGCTTTATTAATGTAATGAACTACATTTTTATTATGTTGAACCATCTTTGCATACCTGTTGTGAATCCCACTTGGTCATGATGAATTATGTTTTTAATCTGCTTTTGTTGAAGGATTTTTTGTTCATTTGTGGATTTTGTTAAGAATTTTTGTGTCTTTATGTATGATAGATTTTGGTCTGTAGTTTTCTTTCTTGGTAATATCTTTGCCTGATTTTGGTATTAGGGTTATCCTTGTTTCATAGAATGACCCTGGAAGTGTTCCTACTTTCTCTATTTTTTAAAATACTTTTTAAAAGTAGAATTGGTGATAGATCTTCTCTGAATGTTTGGTAGAATTCAGCTATGAAGCCATCTCATCCAGGACTTTTCTTATGGTGAACTCTTTTCATGACCTGTTCAGTTTCTTCTTTTGTGATGGGACTGTTCAAGTGTTCTACATCTGTCTATGTAAATCTGGATAGGGTTTGAGTTTCATGGAATTTGTCCATTTCCTCTAATTTTTTTTTCCATAGTATAGCGTTTCATAGTATTTTGATAGTATGTATTTAATTTCATTTGATTCTGTTGTGATGTCACCTCTATCATTTCTTAATTGAGTTATTTCTTCTACCTTCTTTTTTCCCCTTTTGTTAAGTTTGCCAGTGCTTTGTCCATTTTATTGACCCTTCCAGAAAAGCAGCGCTTGATATTGTTGATGATTTCTTTTTATCCTTTTTTTTTTTTCTTTCTTTTTTTGGTCTCATTTATTTCAGCTCTTGTTCTTATTGTTCCCTTTCTTTTAGAGGCTGTAGTATTAAGTTGTTGTTCTTTTTCTATTTGGTGAAGGTGTTGAGTTAGAGCATTGATTTTTCTTCTTTCTTCCTATTTTACGTGTGTGCCGTTGCTATGAACTGCCTTAGCTGAGTCCCAGAGGTCTTGTTATGTTGTATTTTCGTTTTCTTTTATTTCAAAAAGGAATTTTTAGTTTCATTCTTTATTTCTTTTATAACCCAATCCTGTTTTAGCAGAGAGTTTTTCCGTTTCCACATGGGTAGTTTTGTAAGCTTTATTCTCATATGATTAATTTCTAGTTTTATGGGACTGTGGTCTGAGAAGATACTTCGAGTTAATCCAGTGTTGTTTTTTTTTAATTTGGTGTGGCTTGCTTTGTGTCCTAATATGTTATCGATTCTGGAGAATATACCATGTGTACTTGAGAAAAAAGTGACTTGAGTTTTAATTGTGTACAGTACCCTGAGCACACCCATCAGGTCAATTTGGCTGATTGTATACTTGTTACTGCATCTTTGTTAAGTTTCTTTGAATTGACATATTCTTTGGAGATAGTGGTGTGTTGAAGTCTCCTACCGTTATTGTGGTGCTGTCTGTTTCTTTCTTCAGTTTGGTTAACTGCTGTTTTATGTATTTTGCAGGTCTATCATTTGGTGTATAAACATTGACCAAGGTTTTATCTTTTTGATCTATTGTGCCTCTAATCAGTTTGTTATGCCCTTCCTTATCTTTTATGATTTTCATTCTGAAGTCTATTTTATCAGAGATTAATATTGCCACTC